TACTAGTTAAATAATACTAATACTAATATTGATACTAATTAATACACAAATTTTATTCCACCAAAATATATTTTGTGGTATTGAAAATATTAAAGCACAGTAGTGTTAATGTAGCACATACCTAAAAGATCTTGAATAATTGGAGAGAAAAGCTTACTTGGGCTTGAGCCCTTCATTGTACTTATATAATACAAGAGTTTTGGTTACAATCCAATTGTACACCCAGCAGTGATTAAGTTACAATGATAAGGATAAACAATGGTTATAATCATAATGATAAAGACTAATATAGAATAGGAAACTTAAGAGGATAAGGGGATAAGATTCGATGGCTGGGTTATGCGAGTATGTGTCATGTGGCCTTGGGCCCAGTCTCCTCAACAGCCCCCCTCAAACTGAGCTGCTGTTCTACAACATGAAGTTTGAATCATAGATCTAAGAATTGAACTATTGGCAATGGTTTGGTGAATATATCAGCCAATTGGTCTTTGGTAGATATGTAGCAAACATCCAGAATTTTGGAGGCAACCTTTCACAAACAAAATGATAATCAATCTTAATATGCTTTGTTCGTGCATGAAAAATTGAATTGGCGACTAAGTATGTGGCACCAATGTTGCCACACCACAAAATAGGTGATGAGTTGGAAGATATATCAAGTTCAAAGAGAAGTGACTGTAGCCAAAGTAATTCAGATGCAACAACAGCAATGCTTCTATACTCCGATTCTGTGCTAGATTTAGAGACAATAGCTTGTTTCTTTGAGGTCCATGAGATCAGGTTATTACCAAGAAAGACACAGAAGCCACCTTGGGAGCACCGGTCATCTGGGCAACCAGCCCAATCAGTGCCAGAGAAAGCATGCAGCTGAGTGAATGTAGAAGGGATGATACAAAGGCCATAATTGATTGTAGACTTAAGGTACCTGGGGATCCTTTTGCCTGTTGTCCAATGGATTGTAGTGGGCTTGTGCATAAACTAATAGGCCTTATTGGCTGAGAATGATATGCCAGGCCTTGTAAATATGAGGTATTGAAGTGCACCCACAATAGCCCGATAGGTAGAGATATCAGGTAAAGGATCTCCATCAAATGCTGAAAGTCTTGTACTAGAGGACATAGGAGTTGATGATGGTTTGAAGCCTTCCATGTGGGCCCGAGTTAGCAAGTCAGAAATATACTTGCGATGGGAAAGAAAAAGCCCAGATTTAGTTCTGATTGCTTCAATACCTAGGAAGTAACAGAGTGGGCCTAGGTCCTTGACAGCAAATTCATTGGCCAAAGAAGATATGAGAGAGTTGATGGTGGAGGGATCTAATGATTATGTCATCAACATATATCAACATGAAGAGTTGAAGCTTGGACGTCTTGAGAATAAATAGGGAGGAATCAGACTTTGACATAGTGAAGCCCAATTTCAGTAAGAATTCAGAGAAATGGTGATACCAGGCACGTGGAGCCTGTTTAAGCCCATATAAGGACTTTTTTAAGTGCCATACATAATCTGGATTCTTAGGGTCTTTGAACCCAATAGGCTGCTCCATAAAAACATCTTCATTGACAGAATCATGGCATTTTGGACATCCAATTAACGAAGGTCCCAATGATTGGATGTAGCCAAGCTGAGAATGATCCGCACAGTAGTGGGGGCTTTACTACTAGATTGAATGTCTCCCCATAGTCAAGTCCTGGTTGCTGTTGAAATTCTTTTGCAACAAAGCGGGCTTTGAAACCGTCTATGAATCCATAAGCCCTTCGATTGATTTGGTAGACCCATTTGGATCCATCAACATTCATCAAAGGTAATCATGGCGTAAGTGTCCGAGTCCCGTTATGTAGGAGGGCATTAAATTCCTCCTCCATTGCACTCCTTCACGAGGCATGTTTGGATGCTTCTGTGTAACATGGGCTCAGTGATAGATTCAAGAGGATGAGTAGATGCCAAGTAGAACTTAGGTTTTCATATGCTAGTTTTCAGCTGAGTGGTAATGGGATGAGTGTTCAAAGGATTCACGCCTATAGCTAAGTTGCTTTCATCATTTTCATCAACAAGGGCAGACTGCACCATGATATTGGCAGGCTTGTCAATTGGTTCAGTGAGGGAACCATCATGTTGCATTTGGTCACTAATAGTGGGCTCAATGGGTGCTGAGGGAGAACTAGATATCTCAAGAGATATAGTAAAAGGCCCATGAGAAGTTCTGTTTGTAATAATAGACAGCCCATGAAGTAAAATATCATTCGAGTTTACATGGGCAGTTGGGCTTGGGCCTTGAGAGAATGGAAATGAATTCTCATAAAAAATAACATGCCTCGATATGTATAGGCGACTAGAAGCAATGTGAAGACAACGATACCCATGATGTTGTGGGCTATAACCCAAAAATACATAGGGAACGGACCTTGAGTCCAATTTGTCATGATTGTATGGTCTCATGCAAAGAAAGCAAAGGCATCCAAATACCTTTAGAAATGAGTAGTTTGGGGACATATGAAATAAGCATTCCAAAGGACTTTTGTGAACCAGTACAAGGGTTGGCAATCTATTCATCAAGTATACTGCTATTTGAAAGGCTTCCAACCAGAAGCGCTTTGGCATGGAAGCAATAGCAATAAGAGATAACTCAATAGCTTCAACCCTACCATTTTTCTCTTAAGTGTGGGGGCAAGCAAAGCAGTGAGAAATTCCCATTGATAGAAGAAAGTCACGAAACTGAGATTTAGTATATTCCCTACCCTATCAGTTTATATGGATTTGATTTTTCTTTCAAATTGGTTTTCAACAAGTTTCTTGAAATGCATGAAAATAGTGGGAATTTAGATTTATGAACCATGGGATAAACTATCTCTAATTCCTTTTTATCTATATCTATCTAAAGAAAGTTTCAATTAAAAAACTTCAAAACTAAATTTAAAATATTTATTCAAAACACAAAAAATAATAGATTTAATAATATTCATATTATTAATAGCTCAATATTTTTACAAAATTCATCATGAAATTATGTAGTAACAACATAAAGTATAATTTTACGAATTATTCAATTTAAATGTTATTCAAATAATAAAATTTAACACTAAAAAGTAAAATATTATTTAAAATTTTAACAACAAAAAATCTTAAAAATAGCTAAATAATATAACAAAATATTTAATATTACATAATAACATTAAAATAAATAAAATTCAAATAATAAAAAAATCTATCTTTTATATTAAATATTTTTGGTTTGTATCGATTTGGGTCTATTTTCAGTTTAGTTTGTTTGTTCAAAAGATTTAAACTTAAAAATTAACTTTAAATTTCATAAATTACAATCACATTATTAAAAAATTAATTACAAAAGTTAAATCTATGATATAAAATATTTTAGACTAAGAAATATGGGAATTTTCCTACTTTCCCATATTAAAAAATTAAATTTAATGTTTAAGATATTAATATATATTTATTAAACCAAAGCTGGTCTGAAATACTAGAAAACCGACCAACTTGGATTGAGTATGATCGGATTATTTTTTAAAATGTTAAAATATAAAACAATTATATATACTCTTATGTATTTCTATTGTTTAACTTCCGCTTTACAAAGTGCATCGCATGGTCCCCGTCACCATGCCTCTCCTTTCTCCATTATCCCCACCCTGCATTCTCTCTAACTTTATCACCTCTCCCCTTCCCACCACTCCCATTAAGCCATGTCACCCAACTACCTAAAAATATTCCTATGACCTCTCTCCTAAGGTATCTCATTTAAACCAATAGGAAAGTATCATGTTGCCCCATTCCTTAATCAATTCTTAAAATGCATCCTTCCCAGTCTATATTCACTCTCTCACATTTAAAATATTTATGTTAATTAATAAATTGTTAAATACAGTTAATATTTAATTCCACTCATATTCTATGAGTATTAAATAGTATTATTACCAAAAGTAAATAAATATGATTAGTAAATTACCAAAAATTAAATATTCATATTAGTACCATTAGTAAATTATTAAAAGTTAATAAATATTGTTATTAATTAACTCATTAATAACATTTTATTGAAATTGAAAACTCTTTAACTAATTTCTATAAATTTGAGAATTATATTTAACAATTATCAAAAAGTATAAAATTTTAGTTATTGCTATTATTATAATTAATAACCAAATACAAATGGAGAAACAAAATATTATAATGTTAGAAAATGAAATTATCAATTAATTTATATTGAAAAATAAAAGATAAAATTAGTGTAATTTTGTTAGTAAACTACCTATTAAAAATATATATTTAATAACAATTAAAAAAATCAATAAATCCCCATAGTTATACACAAATGAAATAAATTTTTCAAAATTTTCATGAAACTACATTTTTGTAAAATAATATTTTTGGAACTAAAAGATATAAAGCATTTGAAAGTTTATTTGAAATGCATTAAATAATGTAATTTTTGGAAAATTTATTACTTTCGATAGATTTTGGAAAACCATTGAAAAATTATGTAATTTTTGTTGCAAATTATTGAAAATTATTAATGATAAATGAAAAACTATAATTTGAACAAATAATTACACATATTGTTAAGATAAATTAATTTAATATTGGAAACTATAAGATAAATTAGTATAATTCTGTAAATAAACCATTTAAAAAGAAATTAAATTATTTAATAAAAATTTAAATAAATTTGAATAAATTTTCAAACTTACACAAGTACAATAAATTTTTCAAATTTTTTATAAAATTATATTTTCAAATATTAAAGACAATTTAGTGTACTTTTTTAAATTTACCATGTTGTTGATACTTAATATATCTTTTTGATCATTTCTATCATCAAATTGAATATTGGGTTGATGGGACAGTGTTTTCAAAACTAGATCAAAATAGATAGTTAAAAAGGAAAAATTGGGAATTGGACACCGTTTCACTTAAAAATCGCTTTTTGTCCAAAATCTATTTATTTGGTTAGCGAATTGCTGACTTGGGTTGTTGAACCGTCAACCTAGACAACAATTTTTGGCCTTTTTTTATTTTTTTATCAAAGTGGGTCATCTATTCGGACTGTTTGATCCCAGAATAGTTCCCTATCTGGTCCAATTTTAAAACCCTTGGATGGGGAGTGGATGCCTTGCCTTGAGCTTGGCTTGCTATTTGGCATGGCTTGGCCCAAGGCTTGGCCCATGGACTAGTCCAACCCATGGCACGGCACTGGCCCGTGCGGGCTAGGGCTGTGACCTATGCCGAACCGACCTCCCAAATTATCCTAGATGAGGGAGGCATGGCCCGGGACATGCGGGTCATGTCATGGCGTCCTAGCATGACCCAATTTACACCTCTACTTGAACCCGTCCAATACTAGGGACGAGGCAGGAAAATTCAAAGATTCTCCATCCTTGATGAGGAGTGGGGTGCCTTGCCCCTGAACTCGCCTGACATTGAGGAATGGTTACCTCACCCTGAACCCGTGTGACATTGGAGACACGGTGGGGATGGGGTAGAGTGTCTTGACTATGGGATAGAGAAATGGATGGGGTGCCCTGCGTTGAACCCACCCTGTTGTCATTCTTATATAATTGTTAATTATTAGTGGAATTAATAAGAATGTTAGCTTTTATAATTATTTTTATTTATTTAAATTTAATCAAAATTTGATTTAAAAATAATAAAAAGAATAAAAATTATTAAAATTACAACAAATTATTAATATAACTAAATTTATTAAGAAATATTTGTTCATATTCAATTAAAAATAATTATTTTTTATAAATCCACATTAAATGAACAATAAAATTATTAAATCTTTAGATTTCCCATGCATTGCACGGGTCCCTACTAGTTGTCTTATAAGATAGCCTAAACCATTGGCTTAATGGAAGAGCTGAGAAGGTGGAATGGAGGAAGGAGAGCGAGTAAAAGAGAAAACAAAAAAGGGGGAAGGGAGAAAGTAGAGCAGGGGTGACGTGGACAAGTTTGTAGCTGGCTCATCGAACTCATTTTTAATTTGTTTAATTCATTCTGATTAATTTCATAAATAAGATATAAGATTTTGGTAATTTTAATTTAATTTATTTTTAACATAATATCCATATCTCCTCCATGCCCGATCAAAATTTTTTGATCGATGAAATTCAAATTCAACCATTAGAGAGATATGTAGGATTCAAGCTGATCTGATCTTTGTCCGATCAGATTACGCCTTGACAATTATAAACAGTTTCTTAGAGAGATATGTAAGATGGTATAGGTTTCTTAAGTTAAACATTTCATACTTCATATGAGTTTGTAATCTGAAATTTCAATCATTTTAGTTTTAGTTTTACGGGACATTTGTAATCCAAGGTTGTCATTATCATTTTCTTAATTCATGATCATTTTATGAATTATATAGAAGGTTTCAAAGATTTAGAAAATGGTTAACCTATGTTCTATTCTCATTATTTATCTTTCACAAATATTTTCAGCTATTCGAAAGTTCTTATCAAGGCCTATTGGATCATCAACGGTGTATAACCTTCGGTACTTTTAAGAAAGAATTGGACAATGCTCTGAATGAAAGGAAAACTTTTGCTTTATCTGCAAGTGATTGCACCGAGCGTTTCATGGCAAAATTTAATGAAATATGCACAGGTATTCAAATCTTGATATTGCTATTTTCTATTACTCATATGTTAGGGAAAAGATATGGTATAGGAAGAGTTTTGATTAATCAAAACTCACCCATGAATTTTGATAAATAACATAGTCATATCTTTTTCATATCATAGTTATGATTCCAGTTGATTGGTCGGAAGATTTTCAGATATCATATCTTTTTCATATCATAGTCATACTCACCCTTGTATTAATGCCTAGCTTATATCCTAAGACCTTGCACCGCTTCTATATTTCTGTTTATTGGATACCTTCTCCTTTAGCCTTAAAGTCAAATATTACCTAAAGTATTAATCCTTTAGCATTAAAATCAAAGGAGGGAGGAGAAGAACATGTAAGAAAGGGTTTGCACTCTAGTTGAATTCAAGAGATATAAAAAAATGGTTTAAACTGAGAATCTTATGAAAACAAATGGAGAATAAGACACAGTAAGATTGCTCCCCTCTAGTTGAGGCGTTCTTTTATAACTGAATTTTATACATATTTCTTTTATTCTCTTCAGCCTTTAGATTCGCCATGGTCGCATATAAATCCACTGCAGCTTGGGGCGTTCAGCTAATCCGTATTGTCTGATTTCTGTACTTCATTTTTGATAGCCCATCATGCCTCGTCATTATCTTGAAAAATTTTAAATGTTGTCAAATGTTTGTTTCTCAGGACGAAACTCCATTCCTCATCATTATTTAGAAAATTTTGAAATGTTATCAAATTTTTGTTTCTAAGGCTGAATGTCCACGCCTCATTATTATGTGATTCCAAGTAAAATCATTTGATGTTCATTGATGGTATAGATGCTACCATTCCACAAGCAAACTGGGATTCATCTGTTGTTCGGCTTCAGCTTCAGCAAGATATGGGTGAACACGTTACTTCACTCCGTGAAACCAAACTTGCTGAGTGTAATAAGAAATACAAGGTATGATAAAATTAATTATCATTAAGGTCTCTCAAATCCTGTTATCAAGAAATTGTTCAACTTAAAAGGTTTAATTTATTAGTGAGGTCTTGCAATAGTCTTTTATACTTTTCATTGGATTTAAAGCAAGGAAAAGTACAGGTTCACCCATATCTTTTATGGAAATCTAAGTAAATATAATGGAGGAAGTAAAGATTGAACATTAGACCACTTGATCAAAGAGACTAATACCATCTCAATGACCATTCAACTTAAAAGCTTTGTGAATAAAAAACTATCGAAAAATCTCACCTAACAGATTAAGCTTTTACATTAAAGAATTCCTTAATTGAGGCTTAGATATATATGATTTTAATCTTTTATATATGATCTTTATTGGACATATGTCACCATAAGCAACAGCTAGAGTTAACTAAGCATGCTATCTCCGGCTTGTAGAAACAACTAAAAGGGGCATTAACGGGACCTGTGAACGATTGTCTGCAAGAAGCAGACGATAATACCTGGCCAACAATAAAATTGCATCTTGAACGTGAGAGTAAATCAGCTGTCGAAGGGCTAACTGGGGAACTCGATGGCTTTGACATTGATGATAAGAGGAAGGATGAAATGCTTGCACACCTAGAAGACTATGCAAGAGGTGTGGTTGAAAAGAAGGCAAAAGAGGAAGCTAGTAGAGTCCTGAAACACATGCATGACAGGTAGAGATTCCCTCCCTCCCTGCATAACTTTTGGTCGATATTATTCCTGATTTTCACCTAACATCACTAAATTTGACAGGTTTCTAATGTTTTTTACCAATGAGTCTAAGAATGTGCCAAGGATTTGGACTGGGGAAGATGACGTCAAAACAATTGCAGAAGTTTCCCGCTTAAAAGCATGAAACAACTCAAACTCAATTAATTTCTCAATCTTCTCCCTTTTAATTTATATACTGGTTCCAAATACCTGAGAACTTTTTTTCTTTCCAGTGCCTTAAGCTACTGGCTATTATGGCTGCCATACGTTGGGGTAACACTGCTGGTAATATCGAAGCAACTCTCTACCTCACTCTGGTGAATCCCAATGGTAAGGACGATAGTAGAACGAGAAGCACATCATCAGATCCACTGGCCAAAAGCACATGGGAAGAGGTAAACAATGAAAAGGATTTGATTTTTCTAATTAATATAATAGCTGATGTGTTTGCACTGAAAGAGTTGGTACCATGCCTATTTGTGAATAAGTTCTTGAGAAGGATGCAAGCTCTGAACGGCTGAAGCGAAGTTGGTTTCGTTACCATACCCTAGGGTAAAAGTGCAAGAAGTCATTTGGTGGGTAGTGTAGCGATCGAGTTAATTTGCTAGTCGAGTGGTGGGGGTTGTCTAATGAACTTTACTTACACATGACAAATTAAATTGGACATTGAAAGGAGTCTTCATATGGTCTTCATTGAAAGGAGTCTTCAAATCAGGTTATATCTAAATCGGATAGTTATCTGAATTTGATTCGATTATATAAGATCTTGAATTTAAAATTGAATTTTCAAATGTCATTAACACCCTTATGTGGAGAAGCTTCAATTCCTTGTAATATTAGTTGTGTGACAATGTTAGTATGTTCATTATAATTGGTTGATACATCTTAACAGGATCCTACAATGAAAACTTTGATTGCTCCTTCCGAATGTAAAACCCTTTGGATTAAATTCCAAACGGATACAGATTACATTGTTAATCATGCCAATTCTGTCATTCAAGCCATTCAAGATCGGAAACATGCTGAGCTCATGGCCAAGCAGGCCCGCGAAGAGGTTGTTGCTGCTATGGAGAAGGCTGAGCAGGCAAGCAAGAAGGTTATTGCTCTCAAAAAAGAAGCCAAGGAAGCTGCAAAAAAGGCTCAAGAAGATGCCCAGATTGCTATAGCCGACGCTAATAAACGTGCCAAAGAGGCTCAACAGGCACAGAAGGCGGCAAATGATGCTGAGAGAGCCTACACAGTAAGTTTAATATGCTTTATCTATTTCTCAATTATTCTACAATATATTATATATACATATATATTTTTTTTGTTGTCAAGAATTGAATTTTAGAGTTATGATATTTTTTTGGAAGGCCCAGTTTAGGAAGAGTACAAATACAAATATAGGTTTAGAAATACAAAATATATAAAAAAGCTTTGCACTGCACATATTTATATTTACAGTCCTTCCAAACTGAACCTAAAGGAAAAAATATTTTCAAAAGGAAAATGAATTACAGAACGATCAGCCCCACGCAAAAAGGAAGCTGATATCAACATGTAAAAGCATCCAAATATCAAACTAGCCCCAACAAAATAAAACTCAACAAGACACCCACAACCAATGCCAAAAATTGGATAACACACTAGGGACACTTTTGATATTTTACAATTATTTTCCTAGTGCCCAATACTAGGGTTTGATTGTTTATTTATAGTTTGTTTATGTTTATAATTTCAAATTCATTGCATAAATAGGATTAGAGTTATTGAATTTGAATAGGATATGATAGCTTAGTTTGAGTCCTACTAAGATTATTAAATCTAACATTTTGACTCTTAGGAGTATTATGAGTTTAGAGTCAATAAATATATATGGACATTTTATGCACCCTGTAAGTGATTCCAAGTATTTTCTCTATTTTTCTATTCCTATTTTCTTTCTTATTCCTTCAAGAAGTCATTACAACTATCAACAACCATAAATTTCTGATCAAAGCTAATGCTTTATTCACTATGTTCTCACAAAGGAGATGATTCACAAGCATTCTTTAATTGGGTTGTTGAACTAGAAGAACATTTTGAGTGGCATGATATATTTGACAAACAAAGGATTAGATTTGCATGCATGAAATTGACGAATCATGATAAAGTGTGGTGAACTCTTGAGCAACAACTAGGAAAGGGATGTGATGATCCTATTAGTACATAGATAGAGATGAAGAGGTGTTTACAATTAAAGTGCATCCCACTAGGCTTCCATGATGATCTATATATGGAGTTAACAAATTTCAAGCAAGAGAATAAGTAGCAAGTTATAACAAAGAACTTGAAGTCAATGGGAAGAAGCCACAAAGTTGAAAAGCAAGTAAATGATTCATTGCATGTTGATTCCTATCCTAGAACTGAAGTTGATGATGAAATTAAAGAAGAAAATTTTCAAGCTATAGAAGTTGTAGATACTAAAAATCAAAAGGGTGCAAGCCAAGAAAAAGCAAAAATTGCTAGAATTTTCAGCACCCATGGTTAGTTTGAGGTTAATGATAAAAAAGAGATAGAGATAGAAGTGAAGCAAGATACAATATGCTAATTATAGTAGATCTTAGTAAGGAAGTAAGTGACTTTACCTTACAGTTCAAGTAGAACCAAATCTAGAATTATAACTTGACATGGCACAAGATCCATCAACATCAATGGAAGAAGTCTTAGAATTTACTAAGGAACCAAGGGTGGTAGAACATATAGAGATGGTGATTCTTAAGCTAGAGATTGAAGGAAAAATTCAAAATGTTGCAGCTGAGATTTTGGTTAAGCAAGAGAAAGATTTATCACAATAGTTGGTTGATGATTTATGTGATCAAGAAGCCAACTTTATTGATGATTTAACAAAAATTGTCATGGAAGGTAGTGTTTCATATTTCTTCCAAGATTCTTTTCTAGTTATGTGTGTAGCCTCTACTCTACAGTCCAAGCATGTAACTGTGGGAAGTCCTACTCCTTTTTTCATTGGAGCATATCAACTTTTCTTCAACTTGATGACTAGTTTTGTTTTTGAGCCAGGGGAGAATGATGCAGGAACAAAAGAGACAAAAACAGAATTTTGTGAAATTTTATGCATTTCTGTACTTTTGGACACCAAGGACATTTTTGTTATTTTACAATTTTTCTGTAGGGTTCAATAATAGAGTCTGATTCCCTATTTATAGTTTGTTTATATGTAAAATTTTAGAGTCATACATAAGTAGGATTAGAGTTATTGAGTCTTCTTTGAATTTAAGTGGATATGACAACTTAGTTTGAGTCCTATTAGGATATTTGAGTCTAATAGTTTGATTCCTAAGATTATGGACATTTTACGCAAAGACCAATGAAGCTTATTGATTTTTTTTTCAGCTTATGCTAAGTTGCTAACTATGGGGTGAGTGATTCCCCCACCCTAGAGTGATTATCTAGGCATCCCATGAGTGATTTTGTGTATTTTCTCTCTTCTTTCTATTCTTGTTTTCTTTCTTATTCCTTTAAGTAGCCATTACATTCATCAATAATCATAAAATTCTAATAAAAAAACATTGTTCAACATTTTCTAAGGACTAGAATTGAGTTGGCATCAATTTTGCACCTAAGTCCATACTGATTGCACCAAAGGACCTTAGCACAAATCTGGTTGCACCAGGTGTTGCTTGAAGTGTACACAGGAGTTGCGTTGCACTAAACAACACCCAAGATGTAAATACTTGTGCACGCAGGTGCAACTAATGCACCAAAAGCACTCTAAAGGAAGTGTTCCAAACCAAATTGAGACATAGGAGTCATAGGTGTCGAAGGAAGAATGAGTTGGGCGGTTAGGGGCACCATTATTTTTCGTTCTCTAAGCTGCTTCAATTTTTGTGCCATGGTTACAATTTTGTATCCAATTACTTTCATCTTAGTCATCTTTCCCATTTTTACCTATAATAAGAATAAAAAAATGAGAGCTATGGCGATGAAAACATGGTAAACCGAGTTCCAATTGAAGTTCTCTTTGCCACCTTCGCAAACCCTCCAAGAGTGTGTCCCCCATGTCCTTCAAGGGCATCCAGCACATTATGGTGCCAGAACTTAGACAAATCTGACTCACCCGGCTTTCCAAATGTTCTTTAGTCCAGCTAATATTTGCACCTGGGGCTCTAATAATTGTCCTAGGCTCCTAGCAGCGAATATATAGATAAGACCCATCAGATTTGCCTGTCTTGATCCTTAGAACTACTAATTCTGACTTTATAGCTGATTTGCGAGATTTTGAATATCCTCTTGGACATTGGAGTTATTAGGAAAAGACTATTTACCTTTAATGCTTAGGACTTCTTGTAATTGGAAGTCTGATTGGATTAGTATTAGCTACGTGGAAAAGTAAGCCATTTCCTGTCCAATTGTGAAACCAACACAAGATCTCACCTAAATCAATTAACCATTATAGCTATCTCCTTAACCATATAAATCTCTTTCAAATATTTAAAACAGGTAGGGCTAAAACCAGAGAGAGAAGAGGGGGTAGAACCAATAGAGTTCACGACCTTGTATTGGGAACATCTTTCGATGATGTTTTCTCATCTCTCATACTTGTTATCAGGAAATGTTTTCAATATAAGGTTGGGATGTGCTGTGGGACATTGTGGGGCACTTCCTTGTGAGGCGCTGATGTGAACTCGAACCAATATACCTCTAAGTGAAAAAAAAAAAATAAAAAAACTGGCCCGTAGAGTCATTTGATGTAGTTTAAAATACACCTTTATCCTGAAGGCATTGAATCGATGAGCGAATGCCCAAACCCCTCTGGTTACAAGGCTTACCAATTTGTTCCCAACTGTGCCAATGATATGCTTGTCATTGAAGTCAATGTATAGGCAATCTTACCCCTACACATTGAGAGAGGCTGTATTCATGATTTGAACCCTGGTCACTGAAGCTGCAATAATGCAACCCAACTGTTGAGCCAAGGCCCACCCTCAGCTAGGGGTGTCAATGAAAAACCGAAAAACTGAAAAACCAAATTGAACTGAAAAAATTGAACCGCAAAATGCAGTTAATCAAATCAATCTGTTCGGAAGTTTTGAAAAGCCGAAGGACTGGTTCAGTTTTCGGTTAACCTATAAAAAAATGACAGTTAACTGAACCGACCGGTATATATATTTATATGTATATTTTATATATATTTTTAATATATGTCACATATTTTCTATGTATTATATATAAATATATACTTATATTATATTTATAATGGTCTATTCATAAATATATTATATATATTATATATTTTTAAAATATTTATAATATATTATATATCATTTATTATTTAAAATATAATATTACACATATATTTATATATTATATATTATAAATATAAAAACCAAAAAACTGAACCGGTCAAAAACTGAAACTGATGGACCAGTTAACTGATAGTAACGGTTCGGTTTTGGTTTGAAAAGTGTTTGCAGGCAATATTATATATAATATATATTAAAACCGATCTGACCAAATTATTTAATTGGGACAAAACCATATAGCCAAAATCGGCATAAAACATTAGGTCAATTTAGATAGTCTATCTTGTAGTGTGAGATGTGCGGCTGCTGGAATAAGCATGGGTAAAGAAAGTGAGTAGTAAATCTGAGCCCTCACTGGGCCAGAAGTCAACTCGTTCTTTTGTGCTATGGCTCCATTGGCCACATGACATGGTCTCAATTAACTACAATATATTTCTTGGCATTGTTCTTGGGCTCCATGGGGCCACTTGAGATGACAGTAGAAATGACAATTCACATCTCCACCCCACAGATTCCCCACAGATAATTTCGAGAGATATATTCCCAAACAAAGATACAATATAAGTGAAATATTTTCGAATTGTCCATAAGTCATTTTCTGCAAAGTAGATGATCTGTGGGTTATAAATGTAAGTAGTGCGTCACTGGGTCGGCTCTTTGTTTGAAGGTGACTGAATGAAAATGTTTTCTTTAGGCTCTTTGTTTGTAATGCAATTTCATTTGTATTAATATATGTAAATTACATGGCAGTACAAATAAGAAAGTGTAAATTTTAGTTCACTTTTGCTTCGAGTTTTAATTTGAAATTTCTATGGCACTTTACCCAAATTTAAGTTGTTATATGATTTATTTATTTTTATTGATTCACATCTCATAAGGTATATTATCACTGATCCGTCTATGTTTGAGTTGTGTTGTAGCGATTTCCATAAAATGCACTATAAATTTTTTCTTAATTAACTTCATTTTTTATTTTAGATAAAAAAATACAAAGTAAAATTTCTTTTAGAACTTTATTCAATTCATTTGCGCTCCCACTCTTTTTCAGGAAGCGGTAGAAAAGGCCAAACGTGGTTTCTGGGGACACGTTTTGGATTATTTGATTCTCAAGCCTTTTGGATGGATTGTTAACCAATAGAGTCAACAGAATTGATTAGTTGATATGGTGCATGCATGGAAAACAAGTGCTGTTAAAAGAGGTTTGTTTGGGAGTACAAGACATTGTTTGAAAGTGGTTTCTTACGGAATCCACTCCTCTATCTTTACGTGGGAATAAGAAGCAAAAAAATATATAAAGATATTGTTGTGGACTATTAAATTAGGAGTTTAAAGCATCAATAAGAAAACCGAGTGATCCCCTCATTAAGTAAATAAGGAAATTTAGTTACGAGTGTTTAACTTTCTTTATTTTAATTTATATTTGTATTGTTCTATGTTTCTGTGTGGATGAAAATCTTTGTTTTTGGTTAACAATGTTATTTTTTATGACATTGGAATCCATTATGTATTAAACGATCATTACTAATATTATAGGATTTTGGTTTTAATAAGATAGTAAAAGAAAAGAGGATGTTTAGTGATTGGTATAATATTAATATGGTGCCTATATTTATCAAGGGATTAAATTAATTAGCTATAAAATTTTGGGAGATAATGATTGAACAAATATTATGACTTAAAACAAAGTGCATCACCGCTGGATAATGACAATTTTGACATGACTGATTGGGAAACAACTTCTCCAGTTGAATAATGACAAAATCTGGAGGAATTGGTCAAGCCATCACCGCTGGATACATGTTCCAAAATTGGCTGATAAATAAACAATTTTGATACAGTTTCTTGAAACTTGACTCACTGAGATGGTGAGAAGCTGCAGCATAAACTTCCAGCGTCGAGTTGGATATCCACTTGGTGATGTTCATGGAATCTCCAAGAACAATTGTAGATAAATGTGGCGAATTGTCTATTTTTTAAATTAGTCTCATTAGGGGTTGTAAGAGGGAACGACTTGCATGTGACCTGAATGAACCTCACTCATGGGAATTGTACATTACTTCATTTTCGCAAGCCTTACGCAATTTCATTAAACAAGAATTGATGATACATATTGATGATGCGCAATTCGCCCACCCCTATTTGGACGTGACTCGTGAGGGGCGAGAGTTACCTGTGCAAAAAGAGATGAAGGAACCCGGGGTTATTCATCCGGTAAAAATACTCCGATGCTTAAGTTAGTACTCGGTTACGAGCTGAGAGAGAATGAGTATGCAAGAGAGAGAGAGAGCTAGAGAGTGGTGAATGCGATACCATCGCCCCTGAGGGGCCAGAGTGCTTATATACTGGTGTCTGACAGGTCTGGTGGGGTTGATCCCAAATCTTTGCTGTGGCGATCCGCTACCAGGTAGTGCCTTGGAGTGGCTGACCGTTATTGTCAGGACTGAGAACAGGTGGGCTATAGTGGCCGTTATTGTCAGGACTGAGAGCAGGTGGGCTACAGTGACTGTTGTATGGTACGGTCCCACCAGATAGGACACAACCCGCAAGCACACCGCCGCCAGGTGAGAGACGTGGGCATAGTCCTCTGAATTGGCAGGTGCCATGCTGCTAGACAAGGGACGCAAGAGCAGTCTGACGGGTATGGTCTTGTCAGATAAGAAGCTTCTCACGAGATATCAAGCCACCCCATAGCGAGTTATTCTGTAACGAGCTGCCCCGTAGCGAGCTGTTCTGTAGCGAGCTGCCTTGTAGTGAGCTGTTCCATAACGAGCTGCCATGTAGCGAGCTGTCTTGTAGCGAGCTGTTCTATAACGAGCTGCCTTGTAGCAAGCTGTTGGTCGAAGTGATCCTATTCCGAACTGCCGAGGTGACGTCCCGAGCTGCCTAGCTTGCGAATTGAGACGAATCCAACTCGGAGCTCCCTCAGCTCAGGGTACTTGTGTTCCCGAGCTCGTACTTGTAGCGGGCTGGTGATTGCTGAGCTATCACTCGTGCCTCATCACATCCATGTGCCGATCTGCTCATGCCAAGTTGTCGCACATGTTGAGTCGCGTACACGTGTCACCCTGTTAAGAGGTCGGGCCAAATCACCCTTCATCAATAGCCCCCACTCCCCGAGCTAGGGGTCCTGACCTGCTACGAGGAGTTCATGATGTGACAAGTGGATTTGGCTCGGAGTTCTGACTGCCCTATCAGATCGCGTGTAGTTCACGCGTGGACGTCACACGAACTATAAATCCAGCGGCCAAAAAACACGCTAAACTATTTTCAGTTTCGAGGGCCATGCAGCCGATTTTCTTGTGAGCCGTCAGATTGCTTTGATCTGGTTCGTTCCCTCTTTGGCACAGTGGCTATAAATAGGGGATCCCAACACTCATTTTTCCATGCCTACAACTGACCTGTTCTTGTCTCTGAGGTCGCACTTTCACTTTGTTAGCTCGGGTCTTCTTAGCTCGCGTTGCTTCTTCGGTCTAATTTTCCTTTGGTGAGTCTTCGCCTTCCTTCTATTTCGGTTTAGTACCATGTCTAGTTTTGACAGTCTTCTCGATATGGTTGAGGTGGGTACTTCGGCCCAGGTCGATAGCCAGATTGAGGCTATTTCAGGCTCGGGGACCATCTATGGCCTTTCCGAAGCACAGGCACCTTGGGAGACACGAGAGGCCTCGGGTAACTTGGCATCCACCTCTCATCAGGGTCGGGTGCCAGATAATTTCAGTCCTTCTCGGATGACCTTAGATCGGCTTCAAGCCTTAGTATACCAGTATAAGCTTCCGAGGGAGCTTTCTTACAGTCTCCCCTCGGGTAATTTCCCTTGGGAGCACGATCTAGATGAGACCGTGATCTTTGAAGAGCAGCTCATCGCTGGTCTTCGTCTTCCCTTACATCCCCTAATCGTGGAGGTCCCGAATTCCTTCGACATTACTATAGATCAGTTACACCTGAACTCCATTCACAACGTCGTATCAACCATTTCGCTCTTCCACGAGTACTGCCTGTCTCTTGACCTTGACACCTTTTCCATGATCTTGTCCATTAAGAGGAACACTTCATGTGCTCTTCCTGAGCACAGGACTTACTACCTGTCTCCCCACCCGGGGTACAAGTTACTACACGAGCTCCCAAATAGGATCCCTGCATGGAAGTGGGATTACTTCATGTTTCATAACCCCGAAGGATGGCCTTTCCCGACCCACTGGAGGCCGACAATTCAGGTTCCCGGTGTTAGGCTAGGACTGAAGATGAGGGAAACGCGCAAGTCTTGGGCTGAGCTCGGTTTTCTTTGCTCAGACTACCTGGCTGAGGACAAGCTCGTGTAGGCCGGCTTGAGTTCTAGTAGGTTTTGGACCCTTTTTCTTTTCTTTTTGAAATTTCGACTATCACGTGGCTAATCCTCTTGTTGTTCTTTTGCAGCTACCATGCTAGTCAACACGGAAAGTCTTCTAAGGAGCTCTCAAGGGAAGAAGAAGGCCAAGAGGTCGTGCCGAGAGGCTAGCTCATCCCTCAGAGTCAACATCGCAGAGCCGGTTCCCTCCGGTCCTGCTGAAGACACCCAACTTGCCACTCCCAAAGCGGCCCCGGCTGATATGCAGTGGGAGGAAGTTCGCCCTTAGAGGGAGGCAAGCTCGTTGGCTCCTGTGGACTTTCGGATGGGTTATCTCTCTGAGGTGAGGACAGCATTATGAACCACACAAAGGCCATGCGCAAGAGTCGCGAGGCCATATTCCAAGATGAGGTCACGAAGTGGACCGAGCTGCCCACGAGTCGCCTCCTAGGTTTGGTTGCTAGTCACAGCATGGTGGTAGGCGCTTTTCTCTTTCCCCTCGCCACTTCTCCCCCTCTCTTCTTTTTTTTTCTTTTTTACTAACTTCGTTTTTCATTTTGGTAGGCTAACTCAGCTGGTCATGCATTGGCCTGTCAAGCGGCTTAACGCTCAAAGGAAGCTTGTGATGCCAAGAGAGAGGCACAACAGCTCCACCACGAGCTGAGTCTGGCTAGGGGGGGAGATACTCAAGGCCAAGAAGGGGGCCAAGGCCTAGAAGCAACTGATCCTGGATAAGGAAGGGCAGATCTCCGCACTGACCGGGGAGAAGGCACGGCTCGAACAAGAGGTCACGAGCTTTGAGGCTTCCCTTGTGGAGGAAAGGGACAAGGTTGTTGAGAGCTTCAAGGGGTCCCCAGAGTTTGAGGCCCTCCAGGTCGAATATGGCTCGGGATCTTATCGCTCAGGTTTCAAGCTATGCTGGTATCTGGTTTGCTAGAAATTCCCTGATCTCAACCTTGGCAGCATTACGATGACGGGCCTGGACACCAAGCTAGCCAGGGTGGTCGACGAGGAGCCAGACTCTCCAGGGGAGGACAGCGGTGTTGAGGTCGAGGTGGTGGGTCCTTCTTCTTGATGGCTTTTCCTTTGTTTTTTCTAGACTTGTGGTTGTACTTTTTCGGGCTGTCGAGCCTGGTTTTTTGTAGGAAAATCTTTGAAACTTTATTAATGGAATATTTTGGCTCAAATGATTCTTTTTCCAATCTAAATGACACATGTATAGGTTACCTAAGTTGTCAAGCTATCGAGTTGGCAACAGGCGAGGGTAACCGAAGTAGGAATTGTCATTACCAATTGCGCGAGTTACCCCATACTATCAGGCTATCGAGCTTGGTAACAAGTAAGGGTAACCTCAGTGGAATTTTTCTAAGTTCTTTACCTCGAGTTGTTTGTATACGAGTCATTTGTTCAAACGTTGGTCCCCTAATGGACCTGAACTATGATTATTGCCGAGGTGGTATAGACATCGTAAGGCTCGTGCCCGAGCTGTCTACACTTTCGATTCAAGGCAATGAAGTCTTGTGTGGTGTTGGGGTTTCCGTGAGTTCGGCATTTTGGCCCTTAGGCTCTGGGAGCGACTTGTGGTCCACTCCCAAACTTTGCCCATGCCAAAGAGGCGACTGGGGCTTATTTGACCCCGAGGCCTTTGCCAGTTCGACACTTCGGCCCTTAGGTTCTGGGAGCAACTTGGGGTCCACTCTTAAACTTTGCCCATGCCAAAGAGGCAACTAGGACTTAGGTGCCCATGCCAAGGAAGCGATTGGGGGTTATACAGTGACGAGTTCATCAATTCGTAGGCCTTGGGAGCGACTTAGTCCACTCTTAGGCTTTCTGGGAGTCGGTCCGCTCCCCTGTTTCAACGGTTACAGGTAGTATTGCTTTAGATTATTGATGTTCCAAGCCCGAGGTACTTGCTTTCCTTCCAACGTTTCAAGCTCATACGTACCTTCCCCGAGCACCCGCTTTACCCGGTAGAGACCTTTCCAGTTCGGTCTGAGCTTACCTGCACCGGGCTCAGGCACCATTACCTTTCGAAGGACTAGGTTGCCGACACGGAAATGTCACTTCCTAACCCGGCTATTATAGTACCGAG